CACACACACACACACACACACACACACACACACACACACACACACACACACACACACACACACACGATAACTCCCGGCCTAGTGTCCCACATGGGCCATCACCTTTGTCGACCGCGTTTTGCTGAACACGTTCCAGAAGCGCAGGGTCTCATCTCCAGCCCCCGTCACGATGGCCTCTCCATCCGGTGACATGGCCTGCAGGAGGAGAGCCCCCCCAACCCCACACACAATTTAACACCAAACAAAGCACAGCACAGAGCACAGAAAAGTAGTGACTAGACCCCCCCAGCAGGAAGCCACAGGCCCTACCAGATAGAGGACTCTGTATGAATGACCCGTCAGCTTGGCCACCTGAGTCAGGGAGGGGTACTTCCACACCAGGATCTGGTTCTGAGAGTAGCCGTGGGTGCTCACCTGTGGGGGGGAGGGGGGCACAGCCATTACATCGTCACGGGAAAAATAAGAATCTCCATGCTGATTTTCAAGTGGAAGAACGTCCATCGACCCACCCACCAATTGATCATCCATCCGTCCACCCACCAATCCACCTACCCCCCCCCCCACCAATACTATGGATAGGTTACTGTATACACTGTTAGTGTAACTCTGCCTGGCTAAGTAAACACTCGGATACGGGCAGGGCGGGGCGGCCATACCAGCTCATTGGTGTGCTTGGACCAGGCCAGGTTGCAGACTTGCGAGCCGGTATCGGTGCACTGCAGCGGCTGCCCTGTCAGCGTGTTCCAGAAGCGGATGCAGCGGTCAGCCGTGCCCCCGCCCGACGCCAGCAGCCCGTGCTGGTGGGGCGACCAGGCGATGGCCTTCACCGCTGCCAGGTGCTCCGTGTATTGCTGCACCGGCAGCACGCTGGAGTGGTTCCACACTAGCAGCTGGGGAAAGGGGCGGAGCCTCAGCACGGCACAGCACAGCCTCACAGCACAGCACAGCGCCAGCCTCACAGCACAGCACAGGCACTCTATGCCTTTTCGCAGCTTATCACACAGAAATAAGCCAAATGCACTTTATCAAGTTCATAATATTCATAATGCTAACTGCAAGAACACTGCAAATATTTTCATTCCACTTTCCTTACTGTAATTTTTCTACCCTCTTTATATCTGTATATCTGCTCATGGATCAAACAAAATTTCACCACCAAACCTAAGACTAGGACAGTGATTTAGGGTGGAAAAGCCCCCCCACACACACCTTGTTGTCGTTGCCCCCGGAGGCAAGCAGCTGGTGGTCTGTGCTCCACTTAAGGCCGCAGACCTCCTGACGGTGGCCCTGCAGGCGGCGCTCTGACTGCAGGGGGGGCGTGCGGATGTCCCGCTGCAGGATCACGCGGTCGCGGCTGCCTGACGACAGCTGGTCCGCGTTCCACGCCAGCGCGCCTGCCGGGGGGAGGGAGGAGGCGGGGCTAATGCACGCCTGGCGAAGGGGAACCTTGAAATGCAAGCCTTGAAAGAATAATGCGAAGCCTCCTCACCGACTCGAGCCGTGTGCCCCTCCAGCGTGGAGAGCTTTTTGCCGGCGGCAGCATCCCAGATTTGTACGAAGCCTTTGTGCGTCCCCACGGCGACCAGGTTACCCTGGAAACAGTGCGTCTGTCAGAATACCACGACGCAGACAAGACTACCCGGAGGTGAGGGATGAAAGCACGAATACTCACCCTCTCGGACCACCCGACGGAGGTGACAGAGTCCCCCTCCACCGAAAGGTCACACAGTCGGGTCACCTGCAAGCGGGCGAGAGCCATTTAACCGGTGGCCTCCGACTGAATCGGAAACAGGAGCCATGGAAACGGCCCATCGCCACGGTACCTGGCTGGTGCAGGCGCTCCACAGGTAGACGCAGGTGCCCAGGCCCACGCTGAGCACGTTCAGGGACGACCAGTCCACCAGGTTCAGGTAGAAGTCGTCCTGCAGCTCGGGGGCATCCAGCACCTTGAAGGGGATCTTGGAGATCTTGCGGGTGGGTTTCCGCGGCGAGCGCAGCAGCTTCTGACTACAGGACGTGGCAAACGCAGTACGTGAGAAGATACTTAATATTAAAATAACAGAGACATTATATATTTTATGGACTCTGCAATGTCTACTCCAGTAAACCATGTGTGTGTGATTATAACATGATCTTATGTGATTCCATAACTGATCTAGGGTTCAGATTTCTTACCTCTTGCTGCTGACGGGCGATAAGGAATACGGCGAGATGCTGTTTCCATCATCAGGGGTGGAGCGCTTGGCGCTGATCGAGTACTGCAGGCCGGGAAGAGAAAGACCAATTAAATGAGAGTCCTTCCAAATAAGGGCGGGGCCATAATGCTGGGGGGCGGGGCTCCACTGACATTAAAGAGGCTCCGCCTCTCGGGCGTGGACGGCTGCAGGCGGCGGTCCTCCGTTTGGGGATCCTGCACTTTCTCGATGCCAGCGCCGAGCAGCTCGTTCTTCAGGAGGGCGGAGTACGCCAGGCCATCCGCTGGACAAAGAGGAAGGAGGCGGCCATTAAGCTTCACGACAACCCCTACGCCATACTATAAGGAATCGGGATGTAGATAAATAAGGAGCAAAGATCACCTTTGCTGGTATCAGACGTAGCATCCTTGGTTTTCCTGTTCTGACTGGGCGACTTCTCGTTCTCCTACAGACAGGCATTTCCCAGTATTAATCAACAATGCAAGTTTCAGGCAGGGTGGCCGCCTTCAATCAGGTGACTGGAGGGAGATTTTCAATTCGAAACACGTCTGCAGTGTCATGCACACGCATTTAACAGTAATGTAACATGTATGTGCATGTAACAGTTTAATTACTTTGTAAATAGTCAGTAGGGTTTGCAATCTACCCCAACGCTTCTGATGTTGTTACTTTTAGGTTTATAATGCAATAATACAGATTTGCCATAAGATTTCTTGGGTGAGGGAGAGTTTGAAAGAGCGTCACGCCAGATGCGAGAGACTTGGCAGCCCTGTAGGGGGCAGTGTTCAGGGGCTCACATTGATCCTGTGGAAGTTGATGCTCCAGTTGGCACCGGCGCGGGACGGAATAAACCTGTCACCGTGCTTGCTGGGTGAGGACAGCGGGGAGTTAGTGGGCGTCAGAGATCTCATCACTTCCGTCACTTTCTGCAAGGCAAAATATAAGAGAAGACTATGCCGATGTCTCCACTGCATGAAGCTGGTTCTCCTGTTGAATATGAAGTAGAGAGCTCTTACCGAACTCTATCCCCACCCTGGGAAAGAGGACCCACCCTCCACAGCCCAGGCAGTCATGTGGCACACAACAGTTATCTCAACATCACCATTGCGAAGCAAATGGGAGACTGTGGGCCGGATCTGAGGAGGACTTTCCTGAAGGAGGATCTGAGTGTAACAGACCTCAGTGCCACTTAACTTCCCCTGGAAACCCAAGCAACAGTCCTCTGAAGATCTCAGAGTTTTGCGTAACACTGTAGAGGTCGGAAATCCCACGTAAAAGGAAACAGGAATTAGCACTGATAAGCTGTTGTTACTGAAGTTATTCCTGCTGGGCCATGAATTTCAGAAGACTACACATCCTCTATGACTGAATCCTCAAACGAAGCCACGAGGAAACAGGAAAACTAGTCTGAGTCACAGCAGACATGCATCCTTATGGAAACTCACAATGGGGCTGGGAATCTCGTTCTGGATGTTGATCTGCCGCAGCAGCCGACGTTCATAGTCCTGATCCATGGCTGGACCGGAGTGGGAGGGAACCCACTGGCTGGGAAGGAGCTGGGGCCGCAGCAGAACTCGGCGTGCCGGCGGTCGATAGCCTGCACACGCCCGGGGGAGACAAAAGGCAGGGCTGCAGCGATACTCAGAGAATGACCAGCTTGCCTTGTTTACATCTCGTTCTCACTGAGACTAAGCATTCCTCATAACAAACATGCGTACAACCACAGGGGACCTAACACAGGCTGGGCTTGAATAGGCTGTATGGCGATGCTTGAAGTGCGATAAAAAATTAAAATTACACATCTGTGTACAAGTAAGAGAACAAGTACATAGGATATGCAGAAAAACACACAGCAACCTCTCGGTTTTAAAAGATATACACACACATACACAGAGGTGAGAGTGAAGTTTGGGGTCAGCTGTCTATCCAGCACTCCTGGAGCTTTTTTTGGGGGGGGGGGGTTATGGACTTTGCTCAAGCGCCCAGAGGCTGTTCCAGGGAACACAGGACTCTAACTGTCGCCTTTTCGGTCACAGACAGCAAGCAATCTCAGTTACACAGACACCACACCACATCATGCAAAAGCAAAGGTCTGTTAGCCATGTTGTGACAGCATCAAGCTTCTCTACACCTGCTCCCGTGAAAGGAAAACTCACACAGATCATACCAACAGCTGTCTTCAGACACCAGGTGCCCTTGTCCCAAATCTAAATTTACCCCAAACGGCTTTCAGAGAAGCAACAGTTCTTCCAGGAACAGAAATGCCGAGCATAAGTCACCTTCTGACAGGCTTTGTATACAACAGCTGCCTATACATTCATACATTAAGCAAGTAATTAGCGCACGGAAGTTCATTTTAAAATTAAAAGTGACCAATAAGCTCGCTATCTGGGGCCAAAAATACTCTCGAGCAGTAAAGTATACAACAAATTACAGCTGTCAGCGAGTCCCCACCCATTACCGAGATACCGCTGCCTTCTGCACATTCACCAGGCCAACTAATCGATTCCTATCCATCTATTAGGTATCCTCAGGTAATACATATTCTCATGAAACGATGATTAACGATTTACTATTAAATACAGATCACAGTACAAGTTGATCTACCGTCACTGGTGGTTAGCAGAAATGCGAGCACCAAAGTAATAATACTTCACACCCAGCTCACCTCATCCAGCTATTGCAGAATAAAGGCAATTCGAAATTAAAGTCAAAATGCAAATGATTACGTCTTCTTGTTGCGGAGATAGTCCCGAAGGACATATTATGGCACAGATACCGTATTAATCGAACATTACGAAGTAGAACTGGTGGCTTCCTAGCTAGAATATTGTTTAGGTTCAGTTGTAGTCGCTTACCTCAGCTCAGGGGACTGGCGATCCTAAACTCGCTGGGCCAACTGCCTCTTGGCATATGCGGAATAAAACCCCCAAATCAGCCAGCCTTAACTCGCGCACGATGAGACGCCAGCAGCCATCAGCAATATCACCAATTTCCACAGTGTGATTTGTCAGGTTCTGTCTTATTCTTCCCCAGTCCCGATGTAACATGGACGACGCCAAGAATGTTTGCTATCCTTTGGGGCGCGGTGCATTCTGGGAGCCGGCGTGATGACGTCGTACAATTTGAATCAATACAAAAAAAGCCAATCTGCGTTGTCAGGGAAACCCGCTTTATTTCAACGTGTGACTGCTAGCCTGCTAACTGCTAACATGTCTATTGTCTGTGTAACTGGCTGGCTAAAAAGCTAGGCAGCTGACGCGCTAATAATGCATGAAAACTACCAACCAACGAAACTGATCATATTAACTATTAATACAACATATAATCACAATGTTGGAACTTGTCTATGCTGCAAGATGTTTTAGCTTGGCTTTAATCTATTTATTCGCACAATGACCAGAAAACCGGAAAGCGTGAATTAAACTTTATTAAAAGGTCTCGGGGGAAATGTGAGAGCTATTGGTTAGATAACCACACTAAAGCTGTAATTACTATCTAGTTACGTATTTATTCCTTATCAGTCTGTAATTCATTAGCTAGTGTTTATTGAAAGTGATACCGGGGAGGTCAGTTGGAGATCTCCCCACGGTAGCTGGCTGGGTTAAGTAATGAAAGAATTAAATAACTCATCATGATTTAAAAAGTGAACGTTTAGGAACTACAGCTTTTTAAAAGAGGGATTCTTACACAGGCATAACATAACATTCCTACCCAGTTTCGGGTAGAGCATCTGGAAATCAGTATGGGGTCACGGGAATTCAAATAAAGTACGTAAAATACATCAAAACAGCATACCGAGGAGACTGCCTTCACTGGAAATTAATGTTTTTACAGGGACGAGCTACGCCGTCGGCGCTCCACGCCGCTTATTTCCGGCCATCACCGCCGTGTCCCCGCCCACACCGTCGCGAGGTCGCCGTGTCCCCGCCACCGCTCGTGCAGCAGGGACCGGAACGCGTGCGAAAATGGCCGGCGACGAGGTCCCGCGACCGCTCATCCTCCTGCTCATGTACCTGCTTATGAAGCGCAGGAAGGACATGAACGACGCCGAGGCGAAAAGGCGGAACGAGGTCCGGCGCCGAATCGCACACAGGCAGCATTTCCTGCAGAGGCAGCGGAGGATGCTCATGGTAAAGCATGCATGGGGCAGTCTGCATACGCTGCAGGGCACGTTATTCCTAAATAAAATACAGAAAGTAAATTTGCATATATGCAGAGTGAATTTGCGTTTCTCCCGTCTTGGAAGATTAGGAATATTGTTAACGATGTTATCTTACAAATTTCCAATTCAACAGTAAATCACGATTGCAGAACAGGTTTGAGGTTGACGTTTAAAAAGTGTCGCCAAAGTAATGAACGCGCCTTACAAATGTACGGTTGCATCTCTTTACCTCCCCATCTCGTCCAGTCCATCCAGCAGCTCCAAGCCAAAGTTTTGCTGCATCTAGACGTCATTCGCTGCAAAAACATTAAACATTTTAACAGTATTTTAATTCTTGTAATTGTTCTTCTGTCTCTGCTGATTTTTCTTTAATCAACATCTATAATTCATGGAATTGTCCACTGACTTTCAACAGTGTGGACAGATGCCTGTGAATCACAGCAAATCCCTGTACTGGCACTGCAGATGTGTTCACAGTCTGGTCTTCTCTCCCCCACCCAGATGCTGATAGCGTACAGCACAAGTTGTCCCTGTAATCACCGCACACGCGTGTGGACCACCATCAAGTGCTCGGATTGGTGGGAACGGGTGGTGATGAACGAGTTCCAGCCCCACGATTGGCTGGAGAAGTTCCGCATGAGCAAGGACACCTTCCTCTTCCTGTGCGGCAAGCTGAAGGCACGGCTGGCCAAGCGGGACACGCATCTCCGGCCGGCGTTGCCCGTGGAGAAGCGCGTCGCCGTGGCTCTGTGGCGCCTGGCCACCAACGTGGAGTATGGCACCATCGGCGCCCTGTTCGGCATGGGCCGCTCTACCGTGTGCAAGTGTGTCCGGGAGGTGTGCCACGGCATCGCCGCTTTGCTGGGGCCGGCCTTCCTGCGACCTCCCGGCTTGCAGGAGCTGGACGAGGCCGCCGGGCTCTTCGAGCGGCGCTGGGGCTTCCCGCACTGCGTTGGCGTCGTGGGCAGCCTCCACGTGCCCATCGTCACCCCCTCCGGCAATACCGCCTGCTACAGGAACAGCGCAGGCTGGCTGTCGGTGGTGCTGCAGGGCACCGTCAACGGGCTGGGCCAGTTCTGGGACGTGTGCTCCTGCTTCCCAGGCAGCACCGAGGACTCGGTCATCCTGCAGAACTCCACACTGTGGGCAGCGGCCACCGGGGGCGCTCTCTCCCCGCAGCCGCCCCGACCTCTCATGGGCAGGCCGCTCCAGTACCTGCTGCTGGGCACCGAGGCGTACCCGCTGCAGACGTGGCTGCTGAAGAGATACCCACCCTCGCAACGGCTAACGCCAGGGCAGCAGGCCTTTAATGAACGGCTGAACCGCACGCGGGGCATTTTGGACGCCACCTTCTTGCGCCTCAAAGCCCGCTGGCAGTGCCTGCACAAGCACAATGACTGTGGCCTGGATCTGGTGCCAAGCATGATCTTGGCCTGCTGCATCCTGCACAACGTGTGTGAGGTGCACCGGGACAGCGTCCTGGATGAGTGGCTGGAAGAGGTGAGCCGGCACAGGTGTCCGCAGCCATGCGCCTCGCTGCCCGTCACCGCGGAGGACCCAGCAGCAGAGGAAGTCCGCTCACTTTTCTGCGAACACCTTCTGCAGCAGCAGAATGAATAAGACAATCTGCTCAGGCCTACATTTTAATAGAGTTTGTTTTTATTTCTTACCTCTGGGAGTCTACTCTTTTTCTGCACTTCATTTTTTCACCTTCAAGGTGATACATCTACTTCACCAGCAGAGGGAGTATTTTTTCCCATCATCTAAAGCACAGAATATACCACTACCTGAACAGCATTCACATGATAGTGATTTTCTGTATTCTTTTTACGACAAATGAGTTTGTGTGTCCATATGAATTACAAAAAAGTGACAGTCACATTTTTACTTCGAAATACAGGAACAGCACCATTTTCCCCTCTACTAAGGAATACATTTGTATTTCTGATTTTTTCTGCTTCCTAGGTGTTAAGCTGTTTTATATAAGAGGTTAAATAGCAGTTTTAGGTGGAGAATAGCCAGCTGGCTCCATTATTTATTCTGTTGTAGTGAGATAGAAGTAGAGGTGGAGATATCAGGTCCAGAGAGTAGAAATCCAGACCAGCCAGTTGAGCATAAAGAGTCACAGACACAGTAACTCAACTGGTTGGTTGAAACAAAATCTTGGTCTGGATTTCTACTCTCTGGACCTGAAATCTCCACCTCTGGGTAGTTCATGTTATTGAATTGGTTGCCACATTGAAAAGTGTTCAATAAAAGTTTGGTGATTAAAAGAGAAAAAAGATAAATACTTGAACTAAAACTTGTGGGTTTTACGGCATTTTTTGTTTTTTGTATTGCAGTGATTGGCAATAAAAACGTCAAATAAAAACATCCGACAGTAACTATGATCGACATAGAAATTCCACACATATGCAATGCTGTGAATTTGTTGAACTATGAAAATGCTCATCTGGCAATGTTAAGCTTCTGAAATGATCAGATTACAAATGTCTTAGTTCCCATTAAATTCCCAGTCTGTCTCACCAGTGCTGCGCTCACGGCTAGTTTTCCATCCGGCTCATATTATTTAAATCGGCTTGAATGGATGGAATTCATTCAAATTATTTACTGTTAAACTGATAAAAAAGGGTCCACACATTCACACCTGTGCATTTTCTTTACATGATAATTTGTAAACTTCCCATAAAACAGGATATATTTTATTTGGAATAATTGATCTGTAATTTTGGTTTGATTTAATTTAGATACACATCCACATAACTACTGGCTTGTGATTAGAATGCAGATTATGTTTAAGAGGATTTTCTTTCTTGCTGACAAATATGTAATGAATAAATCAGATTGGACATCCTCGGTCTAGTATAATATATATTATTATATTATCAGCTAGTCTCCTATGCAGTGTTACAGTATTACCCAAGTTACATGATTTTCTTACATAATTCTCATTAATGAGTATTGTTAACCCTGGAGATTGGATTTTGTGTGGACAATACAAATTCCATTAGACCACAGACTAGACTCTGATTTCCAAAGCACATACTTTGCAATAAAAGTGCCCTCAGTCTCATGTGGTGAAGGTAAGCCACAGCTAATTGCGTGGTGTCACGCTGTCAGCCTGCTCCATAACTCAGGCAAGCCACAGTAGTCCTTTAGATATGGTTTCGTAATGACAAAACTTTATTGGCTGACTGACGCTAATCCTGGCAGCATTCAAAGGAGGTCAGAGGGTTGCATGTTACGTGGAGATCTGTGTTTGCTAGGCAACCTGAACATGACCTTATTTAGCAGAACCTTTTTTTGGTTAGCACTGTTGCCTAACAGCCCTGGGACCAGGGTTCGAGTCTCTGCCATGGCTCGATGTGTGTGCAAGACCACGAGTTTGCGGAATCTAAGCATGAAATGCATGTTAGATTATAGGCTTCTGCAATACAGGGCAATGCCTCCAGGTGGCAGTGAATATGTAGCAGATAGCTGTACAGTAAACACTTGTAGTACAGGTTAGTGACAGAAGGGGGCAGCCTGCATATGGCAAGCCCACAAGAGGAGGCCAAGGGATAAGCTGAGATGTGGAGACATACTGATCTAGGTCACCGTGAGGGAGGGAGATGGGATGAGGGTTGTTTAACCAGTATAAAGACATAGAAGGTGACAAGGTGAAGTAGCCATTCCATTCAAACTGTCACCCGGGAGGTGAAGGCACAGTCGCCCAGTCAGAAACAGCACAACGAGACAGGAAACATGCATCCTCTAATGATCTTTAACGTCACCATGAACATCCTCATCACCATCCTTTTCTGGAGCTACATATGCGTCTATTGGCTTGGAGTGTATGACCCAGACGAGGATGACCCATCTTAGCCCACTGGCACCAGTATTCATGGTTTTCAGCACTGGAAGCGGCCAGTAGGTATTTGCAGACGTTTTCTCCTGAATTCACCTAGATAGTAATTGGTTGCTGATTTAGCCTATCGAAGCTGAATAGTATCTATACCGTACGTTCTTAATGCGCTGAGGATGTGTTGCTCTCTTTGATTCCTATGAACATTGATTTTTTTTTAAAATCTTGTTTCTGCAAGCAACCAATCTTTCAACAAGTTTTTTTTTTTTACGCTGACATGTAACGGTGTAATGCTGTCACACTTCGTATCAGGGACGGGAAAAAAAAAAATGGAACACAGTCTGCAATGGAACACGCCTGCATCTGTCCAGCAAAGTAGTTCAGCAGTGAAGTCGTATCTCAGGTTAACTGCAGCCCAACGGATCTCTTTGCAATTTCACGTAGACACCAGCCAAGTTGAAGCTGAACGATTCATTTTATTGTTTGGTTTCTATGTCTTCAGTGACCCCAACCACGATGAAGGTGAACGAATAGTTCAGCTCCTGCACTTAATGTCCACGTATGATCAGTCATCTCATTCATCATTAGGAAGTTAAGTATCCAACTTATTTTCAATGCTACACCCATTGCTGTTTTGTTTTCCGGTTGTTTTCATCCAGGCTCCTCATGTTTTTCTGAAAGTGGTCCTCATTTGAGTCTTTGCTGGACAATTTTCTCTTTGACATTTTTCCGAGCGGTTCGGTGACAGGTGGATATGCGTTCTGCGCAGGACAGCGGTGGACGTAAGGCCAGGCCTTTCATTTTGTTCCATGTGAGTTTGCAGTTTCTCTCAAGGAGAAAAAGGTCACAGTCACCTGTGTCTACGCGTACTTTCTTCAGACATATCAGTCTCTCTCAGGAGGATCCTCCATTCACCTATTGCTTCAGGTCGTTTCATTTTGAAAGCATCACAGTTGGACTTAAATCAATGAAGGCAACATGACACTTGCAGAATAAGTGAATCCAGCTGGAGATCAAGATGAGGGACGGAGAAATTAATATGGCTACAATTTTCTTTGTAACTTACAGAAAATCCCTTTCAGTCTGTGAAATGTAGCCAGAGATAAAGCTCAGCATTACAGGAATAAAGGAAACAAACTCCCAAGCAATCCTGCCTGAATGATATTTCTCACAGGCAAACATCTCAACCAGCGTAATGATACCAGAGCTTTGATACAAAGGTCATTCAACTCAAAGTCAGCAATGGCTCCTCCCTATTACCAACTTTCATCCAACCACAAACTTCTACTGACTCTTTTTCTGGAGTTATATCGATTTCTGCTGAAGAAAAAAATTCAATATATTTTTATGTAGCGCCTTTCCCAACACAGTTGTCCCACAGTTTATTTATTTTTTTGTTAAAAGAACAGTCAACGTGTTCTGTTCTGTCAGCCATTTCAGTTTAACTGTCAGCTACATCCAGGATTATTTGTATGGAGGGTTGTAATTACACGACGCCTAAAACTCTTCCCACTATATTCTCATTCTCAACACTGCTTTGTGTAGCTTTGCATGTACACAGACTAAGGTGGTAACTGTGCACAGTGGTCTTCCCTAAAGCAGCAACCACTTTGTATTGAAGTGAATTGACAAGTTGTTTTGACAGATTAACACTTGTATGACGTGAACCTGAGTTAAATCCAGTCATGCTGAGTGTCTGTGATTGAAATGTCCTGATCGGTATTAAATAAACTATTAGCTGTAACTCATGCCTCACCTCTGCTACATCCAATTATCTTCAGCTGCCGTCAGTGTGAATTTAGAAGCTGTAAATGTACAGATTAGATGTATCCAGGTCATCAAAGCTTCAGGCTGAGTAACAGAGATTATCTAAATCCCAGTCTGTGATGGAGATCTCCTCTACGTCCATGATTTATAAGATGTATTGCCCTGGACATCTGGAAAAAAAAACTCTGAAATAAAACTTTATAAAAAAAAACATGTACTAGTACTAAACATTTTAACAAGTTTGTTTTTGACAATACTGGAATATTTCTTTAAAATTACAACTGTACATTAGTTTATTCCAGTATTAATAATGTACATATTCGCTGTATTTCTGAACACCTCAACCAAGGTAGAGTAACGACTGGAAATGTTTGGACATTGTCAGTTATTGCAGTAGTTACATAAGTATATGAATTCATCTCGATTTCAAATTTCTCAAAACGCTAGTTTGAATTTAGTAAAACAACACGAAAATTCAACACAAAAGCAAAACTGACAGGTGGTCTGGAAAAAGCACAATCTTATCAATATTCAGAATGAAACTTTCACTTTCAATGGCTACTAACAAAAAAAGCAAATCTACCCTGTATAAAAATATTATTAAACATGTCTAAATGTCATCAAAGGTGTCTGAAGACCCATTCGAAATACCACATTTTATTAGGGTCTTGTCGTGCTCCCAAATGTCGACATCCCTCCCTCTGCATCCATTTGTAGGCCTTCAAACATTTGGTTTCTTTTGTTATACAGTATATCTATCCTGCACTAACCCTGAAACACCTTTGCTATTGATTATTCCGACTTAGAATTTAGGTTTATATAAGGAGTTGCAGGTGGTGACTGTCTGATAGCTGCTCAGAGCCAGCAGCTTACGATTAACAACTTCCTAATTTACACAGCGGGGCGTCAACCTTCCCCTCACCGCCCCACGTGCTCCAAGTACCTTGTCTGGCGTTGGGATTTCCATGCCTCATCCTCCTCAGGACGATGTCCTTCAGCAGTCCTTAGGTCCACCTTCTTCTAAGCCAAGCTCAGCTCACCATGCGCTTGGATGGCTTAGTGTGACACCAGAGGGCCGGCGGGAGCGGAGACGTCGGTCAGGATAGCTGCGCCTTCATCAGCTCCGTCTTCTCTGGAAGGTTCTCAGGGACCTAGGCGTGAGCCCGCAAATCGGAGTTTCTTTAGTAAGTAAGTGCAGCATTCTCATCTTTTCGTCGCCCTTCACTTTCACAGTGATTTCACCAGTTTGCTGAATAACCTTAAGGAGGTCAGCTAGATGGAAAACGGCAATCCCGTTACTTTATATCTGAAGTGACAGGTAGATATTACTTCTCTGAAGTTTAAAAATCGATTCCAGTCTACATAGGTTTCAGGAATCAAATATGCAGTCAAGATCTCATCCTCAATCGTGAGTCATTTGTTTTACGTTTATCAACCAAGAGTGGAAAGTTTATTTAAACCATCAGAAGAAGGTTGCTCAGTGAGGTCTACAATCGTATTAAAAATTTAAGCCAGCAGTCATAATCACTTAAAAGGATACTGGTGAATCAGTTCTGTACTGTGGGCTGGGCTGGATTACTGTAAATAAAGCCGGAGATATTCACCAACTTTGGCTGCAGGGATGCAAACGGGACACTTTGATGGGAAGTTGACAGAGAGAGACATCGTCAGTTAGGAGCGGCGACATCACATGATGACCTCACGTGTTTTCGCCTTCTAGGTGGTCCACCGTAGGTGAGAGAACAGGTGGGGATGGTGAGGAGGCTCCCCCCCTCACCATGAAACTTGGGGGGGGGGCACCGAGTGTCCGGAGAGGAGCAGAGTCAGGGACGACAGTCATGGATGTCAGCTCGTACCAGGACAGTCAGCAGGTGGAGGTTCTGTTCAAGAACTACGTCCCCCCGGCACGGGATGCCATCCACCTGCCCAAGTACGTCCTGTATCTGCTGATGGCGACGTTCATCGTGGGGACGGTCTTGTACGCCATCATCGGACACCTCATCAGGGACCTCATCCACGACCTGGCAGGTGAGCCTCGAGTGGGATTCGCAAAAAGGACACAAAGCTCAATGGATGGTACAACCCCCCCCCCCTGCCTTGGATTGTCAGGATACGTTTTGTCATTGTTGGGATTAAGAGTTAGAAATGAATGGACGGTCCCCACAAAGATATGAGTACAGGTCTGTGTGTGTGTGTGTGTGTGTGTGTGTACCTCACCCACTGTGTTCCACTCTGCTTCTTTTGCACCCTAACCCCTGTAGACTATCTGTTTGGGGAGCAGCCTGAGGAGGTAGAGGTTTCTCTCTGGGAGGCCCGGGACAAATTCAGCACCGACTGGTGCCCAGAAATGACCCCTGAGCTGGAGGAGTTGGCCCGCACTGAGATTCAAGTGTTGATGGAGGGCGACGAACAGTTTCCAGCTATCTGGGTCATCCCAGACCCCTGGGAGCTGAAACTGTATCAGAATGACCGGCGTGTGTCCTTCAGCCACTAGGGGTCGCCAGAAATGCCGGAGGAGACACATAGGCGCCAACTCACAGCCTCTGGATGCCAGATGCCACAGTAGACATTAAGGACTTGCAAATAAGTCGGTGGAGTTCCAGGATGCTTCTGCCATCGTAACCCTTGGGCAAGACACCTAACCATAATGTTTCAGTATATCCAGTTGTATAAATGGGTTAAGTGAAAGCTTTTAAGCACTTTAAGGCACTTTGAACAGAAGTGCCTGCTAAACAACTACATTAAATAACCATAATAAATAAAGACTGATAAGTTTTTGTCAGCTGCTTTTCTGGTTGATGGATGCCATGTAATATGTTGATATGCACTAACTGTGTTCCGTTTCTGACATTAGTGGAACTGCAGCAACGTTCGCTACAAGAACCTTGAAAGTTAAAGTGACGCTGGTTTTGCATCCACGAGCCAGCAATAGCCTCAGTGACAAAGCAGACTTTAATATCACTCTAAAGGTCAACAAAAATCAGGCAGAGTGAGTCTCATAAGCTTGTGGTATTTAACGGCACCCATTTGTGGTTTGGCCCAAACGCCCAGTGGCCAGAGATTGAGGATAAGGCCATGGCTAATTGCTTTCTTGGCAGTGGCCGTGTTTGATGACATACTCTGTTGATCAGTTCTAATATGGTCCAAGGGAAAGTAAGATATTCTGATACAAATTTCGATTTCTGACACTCAGGTCTCCAATCCTGTTCATATCTGCACTCATTTGGTCAATGTCCTTCCTGTAATCTCTGGCATTTTAGGACATAGCGGGTATAGAAGATGGATGGATGGATGTATCTTGACTACAAGGTGATGCACCACTTGTTTGAAGGAACATCCTGAACCCAATGTTCAGCTGTACTTAGGGCCCCCAAAATGGCATCGCAGAAACAAGAGCTGCACTAAGCACATTAAAGCAAATCTGTACGCCAAGACCCATGCGAGTCACCTGCCAAGGCTGTGATGGAGCCCACGGTAGAAATCCCATTTAGGTCCAGCAGGGGGCCTACTGAGGGCGCAGTCACTAGGGAGCCACAGTCAATAGCGCGAGTTCTTACATGACTGCCCCCAAAAAGCTTAGCAAACATTTGGCAACAACCTTATAGGTGCATGTGAAAAAGGAAAAATATTGACATAGTTGCGGCCCTGCTGAAGTATTGTATGGAAAACGCAGAAAAAAATACAAATCCCTAAGGTAATTACCGGAGGGAAAAAAAACACTGGATGTAAAAAGCCAGCCACCCCCAGGCATGATGACCTTGCACGAGTCCGAAAAAGGTATGCGAGTGTTGTTTGAACAAAAACTAGGAATCGAATATGCTATCATCTATGCATTGTGTTCCAGACCTCAGTGTTTGCACAATGCCAGCAAACACACGTTGTTAGCAAGTTAATTGGTTTAAACTTTGACTAAACTGCATTACATCAATGCTTTTCGTCCTGGTGGGATCGGTATATGTGCGGGGTGCAAGCAGAGCCGGAACAGCACAAATACATCTCCGGGAAGACAACAGCAGCCAAATGGGAAGGCTGGAAGACCCATCGTCCTGCACATTCGAATCATATGAGCCATCATTAGCTGGCGAGATCCAGGAGGAATTCTGCCCCAGACTCACCTCACCCAAAACCGGGGTATTTCACACATCGGGAGCGATGTTATTGACCACGTTCACGGGTCAAAGGAAACCGATTAGCAAATTCATCGCGCAGCGAAGCAGTGTTACGCCGTCTCTTAACGAACCAATTCCCGGTTAATCGCCAATGTCCGACACTTCGTTTCTCAGTTGCGCTCCCAAGCTTTAACGAGATGCTCTGTCTGAAGTGCTGCCATAAGCCGTGAAACCAGCATACACACACAGAGAGAGAGAGAGAGAGAGAGAGAGACATCGACGCTTACTGAGGGGAGTTACTGCAGATTAAAAACAGCTCCGAGCGCCAAGGGCTTCCAGAATGGAGTCAGGGCAAACCAGGGCAAACCATGTTTATCACTGATTTAAGTCAACAGGCATTCTGCGTCTTAAACACCACATAGTATTACCTTTACAGCGGAGACAAAACACAGCTTTTCCCAAACGAACTGCGCAAGGGTGTCTATATTTATCAGTCGGTTCATAGATAATCCTATTCAGAGCCACTTAGGGGGCTATTAATGTCCTGGAATTATCAGCATATGCCACTGGTATTAAACTATAGACAGAGAGTCCCAGACTTAGGAGTTTTTCGTAGCCGCGAATTACTCAGCCTTAAAGAAAATGTTCAGTGTATAAACTACTAAGTTACCCCTGTGTTTGCTACTAGGGGTCAGCGGGTATCAGCATGGTTGTAAATAGGGATTGTAGGTCAGAGGTTGGTGGTGTCAGACAAGCCATGCTGTAGTATCCTTTACAGAAGGTACATCCATCCGTCCATTTATCTTCCAACTGCTTATCTAGTACAAAGTTGTAGTGGTCTTTCGTTAGGATCAAAATACCCAACAGTAAGAACTGGTCTCTGTGTGTAAAAAGAGCGGGACATGTAACAAAATCAGCATACTTTATATCATACATGAAATAATTTCTCGGAATCCACGACATATAATTCATTCAACAATAAAACAGTACTTTTAATTTAATTATCATAATTTATAATGATATTGATAATTAAATGTGTTTTCGATGTCTTAACATGTCTGTTCTTTTGCCAGTAACAGTGACTAAAGATAACAGTCCATAGATTCTGAACTAGATGGTAAATTAAAACAGATACGCAGTAGTTGGAATAAGTTCGCAAAATGACCACTAGGTGGAACCAGATGCTTCGCGTACTGCAGTAACGGAAACCAATTTAATGAGAATTCAAATTTAACAGTGAGCTGTTTGAAGATATTATTCAAGGTAAGAACCAACAACCCAATCAGCTTGATTATCACACCCCTAAAGATAAATAAAACAGGAAGCTATCCCAGAATTATCTTAAAACCTATAACAATTTAATATGAAAGTTAAAAATCTGTAGATCCAGGGCCTTGACAGAAGTATAATTAATGTATTTAAAAGCATTAGAAAAATTAAGCAATGTCTACTTTTTTCACCTTTGTTACTGTATATTAAGGGAAGAGCATTTATGGCAGAAGAGGTCCAGTAAGCTGTGATAAAAACACACACACACAAACATCACAAACACACACACACACACACAAACATATACATACATACATACATACACCATCTCAAGATAAGGGGATCATATCACATCGCAAAGTGTGTCTTACTGGTGCCTGGAGGGGATGGTATGGCCCAGGAAACATTCTGGCAGGATTCTAACGGATATTCTGGCATCATTTTAACTTTACATAATCAAAAATGGTGCCATAAGTCTGGAAAGCCAAGCAAAGAGGACAGGAGAAACGTAGCCCCGATCCCAGATTTCTCTCCCCTGGGGGGTGTCTGTTCTAGGAGTCTGCGGGATAGCAAAGGAACCTGGCATTACTGTGCGGCTCTGTCTGCTGGCCTGGTGGTAACGTCACGAAACCAGAAATCAAAAGCCCGCATAGGTTCAATCCCAGGATGCTCATGAATTCACAAGACAGTCGTTTTAGCCTGAATTTCTGTGATTTGACATAGATGTGCTTCAGAATTTGCTTCAGAGGAACACCAGCATCTCCTGATGAGAAGCGAGGAGGTCTACGGGTGACAAATACCACGGAAATCGGCATGAGCGGAAGCTGCGAGGCTCTGACGGGCAGTTGCACACTTATAGTTCTGACTCCCGGGACAGCTGTGTTGATCCACCATGCATTCGTATGTACGACCACGCAACGCGGCGAAAGCAATGGGCCCAATCATTCATGTTGAGTGGCAGCCCTGACTGCTTAAACGGTTCCATCGCGGCCGAGTCTTAAATGCTTTCATTTCACGTTTGCTAATCGTGGTTCAAAGGAACGTACACATCTCTGGGCCCCTTTGACATGATTTATGAAACTGATATGAACATCCAGCACTGTAAATGCGATGCTTGTGTGTGCCTTGAAGAGTTCTTCTGTTAGTTTGTAATTAAACTATATTTTAATGCAGTCTGCAGTTCAGAATACATAATGAAAAACATGCGTGACGCATAATCCGTTCAGTGTGCGCACACGAATGCTGAGATGTAAATAAATGTCCATCCAGCTAAATTGTGCTCACAGTCGTTCTTTTATATTAAAATATTTTCACACTTTTTTGGAAGTCTGATTTACGGACTTTACGAGTAAAATGAAACTCCCTTTGGTCAAGTTTAACCATCCGTATCAATAGCCAGTAGTGAATAGAAATTATAAATCAAGTTGGCCTACAATAAGCCTTGTTAGTGTTCACGGGACTAATCAGAGCATTTAAATTATAAAGGCACGTATCGTCTTTGCGTTAAATAGGCAGCCTGTGAACGGCTGATTTTTACATCAATAAGCCAAAGGAAGCCCAAAGGTGCCATTTGACTTAACTTACTTGTTAAAACCTGATACCGAAACTAAAGACCGGCTAGACTCCCCACACAAAGTGGTCATTATTACTTATTGTGAATAGTAAGTTTGAATGGAGTCGTTGTCTGAGTGGCTGCTGGGGTGAAAGCTTGTGCCCCCGGTCGCACTCCGTCACCCGGGCCCGGTGAAAGCGCGGCTCCGTGTGCGCGCCCCCCTTAGAAAAACAAACAGACAAATAAATAAATCTAAGCGCTAAGCATGAGACGCGTCACGCTTGAGTTAATGAGGGCTTCAGTCTGGAAAAGTAATGGTTTACAGATCCATTAAACACACCCGTGCCAAAATACATTTAATTTTTTCCTCGAAGGATTGCTGGTGGCGAGTGAGTGAGTGATTTTGGCCCGATCCCGCACCTTGGAACGCCATTAAACGAATACTGGATAACTGAGTTTTTTTTCCATTTCTTTCTATTTCACAAAAAAACACATAAGCAATGATGCCATTCACTATGATTAATTTACGCCCAACAGATATACTCACAGAATATGTGTACACCACTTATAAAATCTGTAATGAATTTGTTTGTCTCGAACCTTGACTCTGGCCTCACCTCTGTTCATCCAAACTCTTTTTATCTGGATCTTACTATAAGAAATAAAAGCTTACGGGATGCAGCATAATTGTGGAATGTTTTATGTAATAGGCCTACTGCATTTTTATTGTAATCGAATTAAACTAAATTAATTGAACACTTGACCAGAAAATGACTTTGAAAGATCGGTGTGCTTTCTTTGGGACCTCTCTTTCGTAATAACTACGAATTTAAATTTAAGATTTTTGTACATTTTACTATTTGATATCCTTCTTTGTTAGCAATGGAAAATTTAGTACTGACGGTGTATTTTCCCATTTTTTCTTCCGCGCTCCCTACAATTCTGCTTGTTTAAATATGCGGTTTAAGGCTGCCTGCACGCTTACACGATACTGAGGTGAATAACAGTGATTATCTTGCGGCCTGCAGTATTACCCAGCAGCGCTGCGATCGCAGCTCCAGACCACCCAAAAGGGAGCGGTACCCACGGCTCGCCCCGCGTCCTCCCGCCTCCGCTTCGGTTACCTCGCGTCGGAATTTGCCGTAAACACTGACAGAGTGACGATGCGCAGAGCAGGTGACGCCGCCACCGGCAGCCGCCCGCGGTTCCTGAGATCCCCGCAAGTCTAAGTTTAAAAATACAAAGATTCATATGGCGTGTTTTCAGTTCCCATTTTCCAAGAACTAAAATTTTTAAAAATAAAAATGTGCTTGATTCCGTTTATAAAAAATAATAGAATGTAAGGATTCAGTCACATTTGTTTAGGTAGCTGCGTTTTTTGCTATGGTTTTTACTGCCTTGCGTTCGGGATTTGTGAGAACAATGGTTATTCATCGCATCTCCTGAACTTTTGGTCTTGAAGCAACCTGAGTGTTAGAGAGTAAAAGATTTTTTTGGATGGGGGGTATGGGTAGTGCTCACTCACTTTCGGAGTAAAATACAAGGTTTCCTTGGCATGCATATGAAACACGTGCAGCCAATTCAGCGTAATAGCGGTTTAGCTAAGCCTTTACTTTCGCTGTGGCAGCTCGCCCATGTTTTCATACTTTTGAATAAAATGCATTTATTTTTGTGTCTCTTCATTGGGACCATCTTCCCATTTTCAAACTGGAATGGATTTAGTGCTCTTACTCAGGGCCGTGGGCACAGCGTTAGACGCCACAAGCCCCCTCAAAAATGTACTGTATTTATTCAAAACTGAATCGAATTTGAAAGGCTACCACTGAACAAACAGAGAGAGGAGCCCCGGCAAACAATGCAGGCAAACTGACAAAGTCACTGAACAAAGCTGGTTTATTTAACAAAGAGGAGCCACGATAATGAACATAAGATTCTGAGCCAAAACAGCCATTCAGAGTGCTTTGTAATAAAGTACTGAATCTAGGTCAGGTTACCGTTTTCAAATTCACTTGCCAGTTGTGAATGGGCAAAATTGTGGCCAATATTTACACTGCAGTCTTCCTCCTTTGTTTTATACCTGGTAGGCTGTGTAATTATGTCCTCAGAATCCATGGTTTTATCAGGTCAGGTCAGATTTGATAATAAGCCACAAAGATGTTTTCAGTGTTAATTCTGGAGCCAATGCAGTATATTTTTCCAGTTTTCATACTTGGTTCTCCTACAGGCATGAAGGTTCTGCATCACATGGCTGGCATTTTAGTGCATGTGTTGTTCTCATTTGGAGAACCTGCTTTTTTCTACAGAACCAATCAAATTTATTTTCTTCAGCCTCAAAGGTACCCTGAGGGATTTTGAAATAGTCCACAAGGCATGCCGTACAGAGTTCATATTTAATGAAACTTTAATGAAA